GCCCGTTATGTGAGTTAGGGTGAGGCTCGTTATACTCATTGTGCGGGGCCCATTATGCGAGTTAGGGCGAGGCCCATTATAATAATTGGGCAGGGACCATTATACGAGTTAGGGTGAGGCCCGTTATACTCATCAGGCGGGGCCCGTTTCTTGTATGATATGTGGTATTTTGGGGAACTTAGTAGGCTTTGTGCTTACAGTTCAAGTTTATGTTTCAGGTACTTCCAGTTTGAAGGTTTTTTTTATATTTTGGGACTTGTACTATGATAACTATTTTCATATTGGCATACGTATGAAGGTTTGACATGAATGAAAGATGGTTTTGGTTTATTTAAAAATGAAAATTTTTACTTATGATTTTTGGGATGTTATAAGTTGGTATCAGAGCCTTGGTTTGAGTGATTCGAACACACTCTCGGGTGTGTCTGAACTCAAACTGAGGATTTAGTAAGTTTTTCATATAGAAATGAATTTCTAAAAGGATTACTACTATAAAGAAGGGGCGTGATGCATGAAATCGGCCAAGCTCAAGTGAGTGTTTCCAAAATACCCGTACATGTTTATTAAGTCACTATGTGAATATGAGAATAGCATGCTAGATTAGGGCTAATGATCTGCTCAGAATTGTGTGATCAAAGAGATGCCTTTGTATGCTTACTGTATGAGCCTATAGAGTTTCATGCTAGTATGGATTATTGATGGTTTGTTAGGATGGCCTGTTAGGCAGTGCTCTGGTTAGAACTCGGCTCGAATGTTGCTTGCTTTGTGATTTTAGGAACCACTGGTAGTGCTAGCTCATTATCAAGCGAATATGCTAGGGGTACATGTTCCATAAATTAGACAATTTTAGAAGGTTAGGTTTAACTCTATTGCGCGTCTCTTTTTTAAGTCCAACCGTTGTAGGGTGAGACCTTGCAGTCGAAGAATTATCTAGTGTCTGTTGCATGTAATTATATTCGTAAGGTAGTTAGCCGGTGTTAGAGTTGTAGCTAATAGAGGAGAGTCGGGGGAAGGGAATCCTAGGAGAACCTAGGAAGCATGTTAGCATTAGAAGATGCGTTGTTTAGGGAGTCACATAGGGGAATCAGGCGACTCTTAAGGAACGTACGGATAAGTGTGGAAGGTGGTATTGGGCCCGTACTACTGGAAACACAGGATCCGTACTCGAGTCAAGGGAGTCATGAGGAAAATAAGGGACCTGCATGGTGTAAGATTCTTTGAGTTTTTTCTGATGGTTTGAAAGGTCTATTTTTAGATTGGTGGTCGCACGACGTGGTTCAAGTCCTAGTGAGGGATCGGGTTCAAGTTGTGGAGTCAAACCCTTGGATGATCTGATGCGGGTTTTCATTTCGTCTAAGATTACCCGCGACATTTTGGAGCAGACTCATGTGATCTTTGGTACAATCAAGGAGGGTATCATGGAGATTTTGGATGAGCGTTTGGGCGTATTTCGCACTGAGGTAGTAGCTATGGTGGATGCATGCTCTCTGACGTTCCGAGAGTTTCGTGCCTGTGGGGCTCCTGAGTTCTTTGGAATGAAGGACCACATTGCTAGCCGACGGTAGTTGGCGGACATCGGGAACACCTTATGAACTAGCTTTTACCCTGAGGGGTCGAAGGTCAGATTTGCATCCTATCTTCTGAAGGACAGAGCTTGCAATTAATGAGAGGAAGTGGACTATGATTTCGGAGGCGAGGCAATTGAGACGATGTCTTGGGATGAATTTGTTATGAGATTCAGGGCTGATTTTGAGCCCATGATTGAGGTTCAGCAGATGGTGAGGGAATTTCAGAACCTTCGCCAGACTACCAAGATCGTGGCGGAGATCACCGCTATATTCCATGAGAGGGCTTAGTTGGTTCCACAGTATGTGGCGGACGAGGAGATGAATAAGGTCCGGTACCATGATATGTTGAAGAATGAGGCCCTTTATACTCATTGGGCGGCCCCCCTAATGCGAGTTAGGGCGAGGCCTGTTATACTCATTGTGCGGCACCCGTTATGCAAGTTAGGGCAAGGCCCGTTATACTCATTTGGCGGGGCCCGTTGCTTGTATGGTATGTGGTATTTTGGGGAACTCACTAAGCTTTGTGCTTACGGTTTAAGTTTATGTTTAAGGTACTTCCAGTTCGAAGGGGAAGAGCTTGACCTGATCGTTGTGCATCCACCCGTGTCCATTTTATTTATTTATTTTTATTTTTTTATGATTTTGAGACTTGTACTCTGATAACTATTTTCCAATTGACATACTTATGATGGATTGACATAAAGATGGTTTGGGTGGATTTAAAAATGAAATTTTTACTTATGATTTTTGGGATGTTACATTATGTACATATCCGTATAAATTTGAGTTTGTTTATGTTTCGACCTCAAATTTTTTACGTTCTCGTCTTTATTTTTATGTATGCTTCTTATGTCTGAGTCGGGTCATATATAATACCATTTTGATTATTTGAACTTTCGTTCGTTACCTTAAAAAAAATTACTTACTTGTTTTTATGTATGTGTTAGTAAAAATTCGAGTTTCTTTATCTTTCGACATAATTTTTGTGTATGTTTCTGTGCTTATTTTTATATATGTTTCTACATATGAGTTCAGTCACACGTCTTGGGAGAGTATCTACACGTCTTGGGCTGACGTGGCTGGGCTCCCCACGCGTGAACACCGCCCCCAACTCCGGTAGGGTGCGTGTGACGTGGCTCCGGAGACGGGACGATATGACGAATGTGATTGTTTCTTTTGTAACGGCTGGAATTGAGGGTGGGGGGGGGGGGGCAACGGCTCTTTTGACCGTTTAAGAAATAAAAAAAATTATTTTATAAAATTTAAACACAATCAACTTTACGTATAAATTACACACTATTCCATTTACATTTTACACTTCAAAAAAAATACTCTCTACATTTTAATTACCTTCTACAAAAAAACACTCATCTCTCTCATATTTTTTTTCTCTCTACATGGATTCAAATCAAAACACCCCAAACACTCCAAATACAAATGTTAGCTACATGCAATTGTTAGCCTCCCCAATCCAACAACAACCTCTATTCACCACTTCATACCCCCCAAACTTCTTCCAACAACAACCACAACAATTCAATCAACCCCAATTCCAAACCTTTCAACAACAACCTTCTCAACAATTTCAACAACAATCTTTTATACCTCAACAATTTCAACCATCTCAAGTTTCATTATCTCAATCTCAACCCGTGAACCTCGACAATGACGACGACGACGACGAACGGGTCCAAGAAACACAACAACCAACTCACCGAAGGCAAAAAAAAACAAAAGATCAAAAAAAAAAGAACTACCGCATGGAACGAAGACGAGGAGGAAGCTTTAGCGAAATCTTGGATTTTCATATCGCAAGACAGGATGTCGGCAACTCGCAAATGGGTCAAAGTTTTTGGTGTCGTATTTTAGACCACTTCCACGCATTATTAGGAAAGAAAACGGAGCGGACGTACGACTTGATCAACGCAAAATGGCGTGATTTACGAGCGGCTTGCACCAAAATCAATGTCATATTTGACAAGCTTAAAAATATGCATAGAAGTTGTAGCAACGATCTCAATCTTTTTGCAACCGCGGCCTACAAATACAAAATTACCACCAATGGTAAACCATTCGGCCACCAAAAAGCGTGGAAAGTTTGTTGTAACGGTCCAAAATAGGTTCTATATCCGGAAACGACGCATTCAGGATCTACCACCGGTTCCAACAAGAGGGCAAGAACGTCCGAGTCGGACATCGGTGTTAACCTCGACCTCATTGATGAGTTCGACGCCACCGAGGGGGAGGGTCCACCGGACGTTCAACTTCGTCGACCACCAGGAAGGGACAAAGCGAGAAAGGGGGCGTCTTCTAGCGGAAAATCAACCAACGAGGGCGTACTAGTGGAGAAAATCGACAAAACTCTAATGTTTTTAGAAAAAATTTTGAGTCCACAGAGGAACAACGTCGGCGACAATTGGCACTCACCGATCTTCAAATTATAAACACGGTGCCACAACAAAATCTCGACCCGGAAAATTTAAGGGCGTTTATGAAAATTCAACGAGAAGTTCTCGACAAATATGGAATCTATATTCTATGTTTTTTTTTTTTTTTATGTTTTTTAGTAATTTAGGTTTAATTTTCTATGTTATTTTTATGTTTTTTTTTAGTATTTTAATTTTCATTTTCTATATGTTTTTATGTTTTTTTAGTAATTTGGGTTTAATTTTCTATTTTTAGGTTTAATTTTCTATGTTTTTTAATTAATGTAATTTGGTTTCAATTAATATAAAATATTTTATTATGCTTTAAATTATGTTTTTATTTAAATTAATCATAAAAAAAATAAAAAATAAAAAAAAAAGATAATTGTGGAGTGGTGATAATTTCCTATGTGTAGTGAGTTGGTGGTGAAATTGATGTGGCGCAGAGGTGGCACCACTTTTTTGGTGGGTTGGTGGTGACCACTCCGCACTGCGTTACATCATATGGTGGGTTGGTGGTGACCACTCCGCACAGCGTTGCATCATATGACATATCTAGGATAACACAGGACATTAAGTTCATAGTAATTATTAACTTTAAAAAAATGCTACATATTCCTAATGGCTAGTATGAATGCTATAAAATCAGATAATCTTGAGAATTCATCATAAACTCATCGCATTGCTGCTTGAACGTTCATCTTTAACTCCTTGCCTTGTTGTGTATTCCTGCTTGAACTTGAAGAGTAATGGCGAGTTGGGAAGGCGGAGCCCCAACAATTGGCATCGATTTGGGCACAACATACTAATGTGTGGCTGCATGGAAACATGATGGAATAAAGATCATACCCAACGACCAAGGAAATCGGAAAACACCATCTTGTGTTGCTTTCACTGATTCTCAACGTCTTGTTGGCGATGGTGCCAAGAATCAAATTGCAAGCAACTTTTAGTAAGTTTTAACTTTCTATATACTATTTAATATTACTTTTATCGCATATCTGATATGTTTATATTATTGACTTTTAGAGGCAAAGAGATTGCTTTCACTGCCAATACTGTTTTCAGTAAGTTTTAACTTTCTATATACTATTTAATATTACTTTTATCGCATATCTGATATGTTTATATTATTGACTTTTAGAGGCAAAGAGATTGATTGGCAAGAGGTTCAGCGAAGTCATGGTGCAGGAAGACATAAATCTATTATCATTTAGGGTCATAAAAGGGTCTGATGAGATTCCAAAAGTTATTGTAACTTACAAGGGTCATGAACAACAATTTTCTACCGAGGAAATTTCATCAATGTTTCTAACGAAGATGAAAGAGATTGCAGAGGCATATATTGGTGGCACTGTGAAAAATGCTATCATCAGCTTATTTTAATGATTGTCAGCGTCAAGCAACCAAGGATGTTGCAACTATTGCTGGCCTAAATGTGGTTCGCATGATCAATGAACCAACAGCAGCTGCAATTCCATATGGTGTAGACAACAGGTTCAGTGGAAAAAAAAGTGCTTATATTTGATCTAGGAGGTGGCACTTTTGATGTCTCTCTTCTCACCATTGATGGAGTCGGTAAGTTTGATGTGAAAGCTGTAGCTAGTGACACTCATTTGGGAGGTGAGGATTTTGATAATCGTATGGTGAATTATTGTGTTGACGATTTTAAGAAGAAATGGAACAAGGATTTGAAGGAAAATGGAAGAGCTTTAGGAAGGTTGAAAGTTGCTTGTGAGAAAGCAAAGAGAATTCTTTCATATGATACTAGGGGTGTTGATCGGGTAATTTTTTCGGGTTTCGGGTAAATCGGGTCGGGTAATTCGGGTAATTCATGTTTAAAAAAATACCCGTTACCCGACCCAAATTAAATTCGGGTGATTCGGGTTTGGGTAATTCGGGTAACGGGTCGGGTTTGGGTAATTCGGGTATTACCCGAAATATATAATTTTTTTTTTGAATTGCACCTGAAAATAATTTTAATTAAATAAATACGTCGTGCTTTATTAGTCTTGTTTATATAAACAAACGAGGCATAAACGAAGTTACTCAAGCTTTGAACATTGAGATTTTTTACTCAATAATACTTGAGATATCAAGCAATTTTTTTAACAACTTAATCTAATCTAATAAGATGTTAAAAAAACAAATACTTAAAGATCTTAATTTAAAAGTTTAAAATGTTTAAGATAATTGTAGCCATAAGTTTTACTATGTACTTAAGTTTCGTCAAGATAATGAGTTTGTTAGTTGCAATAAAAACTATAATATAGAAAATAGTTAAGTTTTAAAGAACATGGTTATATATAAACAATTGCTTTTAATATTGTTCGTGTCATATTGTCATAATAAAAAAGATTCATGTTTTACAATAATGATAGTTAGTTTAAGCGTGATCAAATACCTGCTACAGAGTACAAGCTTTACGAAAAAAAAAAGTTTTTAAAATAATTTGGGTAATTCGGGTATACCCGAAACCCAATAAACGTACCATTTACCCTACCCAAAAAAAAATCGGATTACCCTATTACCCGAAAAATTTTACCCGATACCCGATTAACCCGACCCGATTTACCCGATACCCGAAAAAATCGGGTGGGTAATTCGGGTATCGGGTGTTTTCGACAGGGCTATATGATACACATGTTTCAATCGAACTAGAAGTGTTACTCGAGGGTATTGACTTTTCTATGAAAATTACTTGTTGGGATCATTTACCAATTCAGGAATTCCCCCGGCTCCTAAAATAGTCTCAGTTGTTGAGCATTGCTTTGAAAAAGATGCTGATGGCATTCTCACAGTTACGGCTAAAATAGTATCCACTGGTAAGACTGAAAAACTTTCTCTTACCAATCTCAGTGAAAGGTTATCAAGTCAAAAGATTGAGAAAATGTTAAAAGATGCTGAGAATTTCAAGCTTGAGGACCAAGAGTTCAAGAAGAAAGCTGAAGCATACAATGCAGCGAAGGATTAGATATATGACTTGAAGAATAAGACGAAAAGAAATGATATCCCGCCAAAGGACTTGAAGAATGTGCAGAATGCAATAGATGATACGGTGGAGTGGCTCTCAACTGGGAAAGTTGTAACTGTTGAGGAGACTGAACGCAAGAAGGAGTTCCTGGAGTTCATATCCAGGCTTGCGTTTTCTAATTAATTCCATATAAGTCTTGGATGTACTAAATTTCGGGATCAGATGTATGCATGTGATGTACTGCTGCATGTTATAAATATAATGCTTCGGTTACTTTGTGGTTGATTCTTTTATGACACAATAGTGGTTTTCATCTAGGAGCAGTTTGTGGGTTCTATTATTTCAAGGGTACGTTCCTTAGTAACAAAAAATTGAAAGCCGATCCAATTCATAGATAAAATTTTTATTTGCTTAAATCACATTTTAAATTAAACAACAACGTCTTAAACAATTGACTCATGAATATAACATTTTACCTTCTTGAAATGCAAATTCTTAATAATATTCAAAGAAACGGTTATTATATCGAGAATTATAGCCACCTCATATAATTTATTCAAATCTAATTGTAAATCTTCTAAAGTAATAAAAGTCCCAACCCTGGAGGTTTTTAAATCCAAAAGTTACATCTGAGGATTTCATGGGCCGCAGTTGAAAGCACAAATACAAGCATAATGGCTGAAAAAGCTAGCCTGTTGACAAAATCCATGCCCGTTGTGTTTCTGAAAACATTCCTTGCCACACTCTTCAAGATTACAATTATTTGGATTCAACACTTGTGTGCATCTTTTCTGGCCATTGACCATGGAAACTCCAACTGCAAAAATGAGAAAGAATAAACACAATTAATATAATATAGTCAAACCATAAAATAATTGGTATCTTTAATTGATAATAGAATAACACTACATGTGTATGCTAGTTTTTCCATCTTTATATATAATAAAGATATGTTTGGTTATGTTTTTCGGACATGCATGTTATGTGATTATTTGAGCCAAAATTGGTACAAAAACATGTATTTCATAAACTCAAAATAAGCTTTCAAAAGAAAATCGAGATAATGAAGTAGCCACAAACCTGTGATAACAACAATGAGAAGAAACAAACAAAAGTATGTCGACTTAGACATTATTGTTATAACCAATTAAAGAGATCGAATCAATCAACGTCAGATTTCTGAATGTTTTGCTTAATGGTTTCACCACCTTAGTTTAAATAGACGAAGAATTCTTCTTCTTTTCTTTTTTAAATCTCAAAACAAGGAAAACACCCTAATTAATGCTATAATTACTTCGAAATATATAACAATCTTTTAAATGTCTTATATTACGCTCATAATCACTCCTCAATCTAAATTTAACAATTCGAATTATAATTATAATGAAATAATAAACTTGTTTGAGGTTTCTTTATGTTTAATTCACTTCATATATGAAACCGTAAAATATTTATTATAATGGGAATGGAAACTTTCAATTTATGAGTTTAGTCCAAAATAAAAGAATATTGATTATTCGCTTTTTGGGACCAATGTTATCTTAGACCATCCGGTATGCTGACAACATAGATGCTCGTTATTTACGTGGCCAAAAACCACGATCACAAACACCAGCCCAGGTGTTCGTGGTGGTTCGTGGTCGTGGTGATCTGTCAACGATCGACAACGCCCAGTCAACGCAATTTATTCCCTTGACCACTTTGACTAGCTGTTGAATGATAACTTTTTGAAAAAGTATATATATATATATATATATATATATATATATATATATATATATTATTTTAAAACAAACATTTACCTATATAAATACTCCAATACACAACCTAATTTTTTTACACCATTCTTTTCTTTCTCTATTTACATGTACAACTTTGTTTACAATCCAAATATCATGGATCCTAATCAAAATGTCCCACCAAACTATCGAAATCGTAAGCCCGATAATGTTTTTACGTTAGATACAACTCTCCGCCAATACTAGAACATGGAATCACCTCAATGTGGTTTTATGAATTTGCTCCAAAGTGGTTCCTTATCCAACAAACTCATCTTTTTCAACAACAATATCAAGTGCTCCTGCCCTATCAACAACAATTTCAATCTAGTTTCTTATACCAACAACCTTTTCAACCACAACCTTCAAAACCCCTAAGGCTGGTGGAAGCGGTGTCACATTTGCCACAGTCCACGTAGACGTCACGTCAGTTTTGTCACACTTTAGCTAGCCAAAATTTCTCATTTACATTGCTTGCCATGCTATTTTTTTCTATAATTATCTAATATAGAAAATAAACATTTCAAACATATTGTTTTGTTAAAATCTTAAATTTCATTAAACTTAAAAAAAATTACAACACAAAAAAAGCATAGAATTTCAAATTACAAACCTCAAAATTTAAATAACGAAACCATGAAAATAAAATAAAGAAACCTATCTGTTATATTTTTCACGACCTCCTCTTTAGTTTTTATTGCCATTTCTTTTTCACGTTCGGTGAGAGCGCTAGTGTCTCTCGTTAAGATCGCCATAGCATAGTTTTTTTCCTTTCTCTTGTGCGACAGCTAAATATTGTTCCAAAGACGACTTCAAGTTGTCAATTTTGGTTGTTAGTTGGTCGATGTCACCCAAAACATTTCCCGAACACTGCCGCCGCTTTTCCCTTTCGCTTGGCTCGGTCTCTTCCCATGGGACGAGTGGCTCTTGGAGCCTCAAAAGGCTCCTCCTCATTGAGATCTATCCCGACATGAACATCGGACGATTGACAATGCGTCATTTCGGATGTTTTGGTTATTTTAGAAGAACCACCCGTAAAGGTTTCAGAAGCGTTGACCTCTTGCGATTTTTTTACAATTTCAAAATATTCAAAATATGCAAAAATTTGAAATTGCCCCCTTTGTGATTCCGGTACACTTCAAGAGCTTTTTGCAAAATAGTTTCGTCGTTTGCACCACTTTGCCATTGTTGTTTGACGCTCGAAAACAGCCCAGTAAACTTCGTCACCACTTTGTTGACATTTTTCCACTTCGAATAAATTTGTTCCTTTTTCCGGTACTCTCCAAGATTAATCTCCGTGAGAAAACGCCATGTAATTTTACGAAAAAAATTGGACAATCTTGGTTGTTTATGACCACCGGATCTTCAGAAACATCCACCTACGCACGAGCTAACACATTTTCTTCGCCCGGTGTCCATTTCTTTGAGGTCGTCCTTCCACTTTTTTTAGGTTGTGGTTGATTCTCTTCCGGCTCCAACTCCATTTCGGGGATGACTTCGGGTTCCCCTTGAGTTTGGAATGGGGTTTAAAAATTCATTAGGGAGTCGAGAAGATCATAAAATAGATTGAAGTCATTTTCCATTTGGGATGAGACGTTCATTTGTGGTTGGTTTTGAAATTGGAGATGTCTTTGAAATTGTTGTTGGTTTTGAAATTGAGGTTGGTTTTGGTATTGTGCTTGATTTTGGTATTGAGGTTGGTTTTGGGTTTGAAATGGGTAGTAAACACCACCAAAGTGTAAATTTGGTGGAGAATAAATTGGCTGATCGCTATGATTTTGAACGAAATTTGGTGAAGAATGTGAAATGTTTGGGTTTTGGGTGTTTCTTTTGGTATTTTTTTGAGCTTTTGGGTTGGAGGGGGAAGCCATTCTGTTACACTCTGTTTCGAGTCGTTCCATAGTTTGGGGCCACGACCCGAAGATCATTTATAATAAGGCTCTAGGCCTTGGGGGAGGAGAGGTTTAGAACCATTTGAATGTGGGTAATGTAGATTATGTGATCCAAGAGTTTCGTTTGGGATTTGGAGCCCAATGGTATAATTGGAAAAGTGGTGCTTCAAACTTCTTTTATGAATTAAGGATTTTAGTTTGATATGTTTTAAGTTAAAAGTAATTAGATAGAGTTGTAGAGCTCCTAAATACCTTTCCGTGGATATAACGATTGTCGAAATTGGAGTTTGAAACGAAGAAGGTATGACCATTTGAAGTTAGGACGGTTTTGGGTTAAGTCGTGTATGCTAGGCATACTGGGAAGTACGATGGGCATACTAGGGTATCCCTGAGTACGCTGGGCATACCAATAGTACGTTGGGTGTACACGATCAATGCCTAAACCCAATTTTCATGGTTTGAGTCCTATTTAAGCTCCTTAACTTCCCCAAACCCATTCCATTCTTAACCTCTACCTCTCCAACACCCTCCCTTGAAACCCTAACCCTAGTTTGAGCCTTATGAGAAAAAATAAGGTGTTTTTAAGTGTTTTGGAGTGTTCTTGGTGCATCTGGAAGAAGAAGGATCTCGTTGGAGAAGTGTTGGTTGCATTGGAGCTTGTAGGTCCAGACTTTGTTCACCTTCATCTTTCTTCTAGAGGTATACAACTTGAATCTTGATGATGCATTTAGTAGATCTTTCTAGTTTTGGGTGTTATAAGCTTTTGGTCACTTTAGTGCATAAAGTTTAGATCTTGAAAGTTTGTGACCTTGTTATGGATAAAGTTGGAAACTTTATCAATCTAAACATCATATTCACTCATATCCGAAGGTTGAAGACTTGGAATTAATGGATTAAGTTGAAAAAGATGCACTTTTGGTCCCTTGGAGACTTAATAACTAGATCTTGGTTGTTTGGACCATTCTAATGGATAAAGGTTGAAACTTTATCCATTATGGAGTTATTAGGAACCATAAAAATGTGATCTTGGACCTCCTATCCTTTCCATGCAAGAGTTAAGATGCCTTAATGGATAAATAAGTTAGGGTTTTAGCTTTTGGACCTTTTCTAACCATGGAACGTCATAAATGTGGAAAATTAATGACTTAAGTCGATGTTTTGAGATTAGATCTGAGTTTGATGTTTTGGTCTTAAGCATTAAGTCATAAAATAAGAAATGGTCACCAAGAGGGTGCGTTGGGCGTACATATGCGTACGCTCAGTGTAATGCTTGTCCTCTCAATTTCATGTTGTAGCGAGTTGTACTTTAAGCATCAACGAGCAATACATG